GTGAAGTTGTAATTGATGAAACTGTTCGTCATTTTCTTCACACATCTGCGCAAATAACCGCGTATTCAACGCGTTACTCGGTTTCGGTTTACTGCATCAATGACTAAATGAAGTGATTCATGCAATCTAACACTCAAATTTTTAGCAACTAAATGTTGTCGATGGATGACGCAATGTATTGCTAACACCCCTGACACATTTTGTTTTAAATAGCTTATAAATCCACGATAACGTCCAACCATGGCAGGTGCTCCATCTGTAGCTACTGATATTATATTTGATAAAGGAATTGCTTTTTCAAATGAAGTAATCCTTCAAAACATGAAATATTGATTCACCTATAAACCAATTAGTGTCGGTTACCAAAGTTCTTGCGAAGAGCAGTTCTTCGTAGATTTCTTGATTCATAATAAAACGAACATATGCCAATAATAATGCTGCATTATCAGGTAAAGTTGACTCGTCCAGTTGTATAGAGAAATGGGTCGTTTGCAATAATTACATAAGAAGCTTACAATATCAGAAATCATTTCATCAATACGTCTTTCAACAATATTGTTGCTTAAGGGAATTCTTTTATTAATATCAGATGCAGGTTTGTGTAAAACAGTTTTTAAAACCTCTTCAACGGCTGGCAAAATTAACTTCTCTCCGATAGTATGCGGTTTTCCGGATTTTGCTATAAGTAACGAGATATTGTAAGACCGCAAACCATCATCATTTCTGTGTGACGTCGAAGCGAAAATTCTGTCCAGTGTAGGTCTCTTCTGAAGTTTATCTTTGAGTGTTTGAAAGTATTTCAAATCTTTCTCTGTTTTATCAGGGTGGCATCTTCTCCGAGGATCTTGCAGTTTAGATGGTTTCATAGCGTCATTGCCCAAAACTTTGTTGCATAAAAGGTACATAGGCGATTCTTTGTCCGGCAATGATGGAATGAAGCCAAATTTCAAATAATCAACACTGTACTGTCTACATTTCTTTTTAGATTCGAATATGGCATCAGTGATCTGTGGGCAAAATAAAATTATTTAAATAAGGCAGAAAATCCAGCAGCTGTATATTAAAAATATTTTTAGATTTTTCCGAAAACATTCCATAATTCGAACACTTCTTGCAACAATTAGTTCGAATTACGGAGATTGCACTGTAATTATAATACCGATTGCTAAAACTTTCAAAAAGAAACTATTGAGGAGCACTCGTGTAATTTTGCATGATTGAATATTACTAAACTACTAATAACTAAAGTCATGATTGGCGGAATTTATCTATCTTTGCTAACTACGAGTACAAAACTAAAATTTAATAAAAACTAATGTACTTACTTTTCTCCAGCACTCAAACAAAATAACACTGACTCACTATAATTTGTGTGAGATACTATCTGTTTATATTTATTAAAATATTTTCTTAGCACTTTCCTTTTCAAGATTCCGGAAACGAATAAACGTATTTGTCCCACATTCGTATTTATAGAGTGACGAATCGAACAAGTCAGTGCAACGTAGCGAAGCTCTGAGACGGCGACTCTCAGGTTTTTACAAGTTCAAAATGTATTGCGACCACAAAGCGAATACCAACATCCTACAACTTACACAATTTTATAAACATATATAATAAATTTTTTACGTCATAGGTACTTTTATAAATAATGTATATGTTTTGATATTATAAGATAGTATGATGTAAGTAAATAGGTTACTATCAGTGTATGGGTTGAGGTCCACTATCGTGGATCCCCATTTTCATTTCATGGACCCCCAAATTTTATTTCGCTGACGTAGACCCTTTGCAGGTTGTCATAGACCCGATCGATATAGACCACTTTGGGAATCACTGCACTAAACGATACCTCCACATATTTAAGTGTATCGTTAAAGCTAATTGCAAATATCAAACCACCCATTCTTTATGATAATGAACCTAAATAATGTCTGACATTTTGGCTTCTCTTAAGCGTTTTTTTTAATATGCTCTAATAAGATTCACTTTAAGTATGTATCTGTGACATTTGATAAATCGTTGATAAATGTTAATGTTTCTGTTTGATTATAAAAAAAATCAAAATAAAAGCACTAAAGGACAATATAATTTTTGCTTCTGTTGATCTCAATGCACGTGGCATACAATAGTAATAAGTCGGGTTATCGTTTATATAATTTTAATAACAAAGATTACACTTATCACTGTAGCATTAATTAGATGGGAAAGAAATAATTTTATTATCGTTTTATAACTGTTTATCGAAATCCTGCAAATACTTAATAGACCCTTACTATCTTGAGACAATATTTTTGAACTAATTATATTCAGGGTTATACAGCGTGTCGTTACCATCGCGACAATAAATGAACACACATATAGGGGATAAGTTTTTAAAGTTGTATAAAACATTTAAATTCTTTAAACATCAATATTTACAGAGTTATAAAATTTTCCAAAACAAAGAATTTTAGAACACCCTTACCAATAAAAGCGTAACGTAAAGTTCATTTGTAAAGGTCACAAAGCATATGAATGGGTTGAATGAATTTAAAAGAGACAAAACATAGTGTTAGAAGGAGAGGCTTGTAATACGACGTTGCGGCGCGAGTTGTATAGGATGTTACAAATTTTGTTTCTTTTTTTTCTTAATTAGTTTGTTTGAAAAATATTTTTTTTAATTATGGATTTTGTTTAACGTTAATATTTTTTTATGATTATTGGCACGTAGCGTTAGACGTGTGTTCATTTATTGTCGCGATGGTAAAGACACGCTGTATAATATTAAAAAAATATACTTTGATTTTTTGGTAAGCCGCTGGACATTGTCCTGGACATTTGGACGTCTGGACTGGACATTTTTAAATTTCGCCTTAACATAGGGATGAAGGAAGAAGTGATCATCTGTTTTAGAAAGCTCAGTGCCTAGTAGGTGCTGATGTTGCTAAGCAAAATTGAAGTTAGATTGCTTATGATGATATTCAGCACATATTGCAAACTGTGAAAGTTATAAGTTACGTTTTCCGAGTTGGAAAACATTTTTTTTATCTATCATGGCGTTGAACACATTTGTTATTGCTCTTCTATTGAAATGTTAATCAGACATAACATATAGTGTCATATTTTTTATTTTAACATTTCTACACGTATATAGTTACGCGAATAATTTATTGCTATAAATTTTTTTTCGTATAACGAAACTCTTGAAAGGTGCATTCTTAGGGCTTCGCATTGAATTCCTAATTTACATCATGCTATTGGTCAATACTAACACACCTACATAGCGTTATCTTTAGCAACAGTCATAGCGGCGTGCTCACGTTCGTCCAGTATGACACTGTCACGTCCCCCAATATATGATAACCTAATATTTTCATTGAAAATCTTTTAAATTGATATGAAAGAATAAGTCATCTCAGTAATTCTTTATTAAATTGATAATATATATATAAAATTGTTTGCAATAATTATAAAGATATGAACATTATCTTTTATTGTGTTTACTTTATAATTGTAATTAAAGCCTAAGGGCAACATTATATGCAAGGAAAATCCTGTTGTATCAACTTATGAAAAGCATAACATGCACACAACAAAATATTAACAAGATTTTGCATCAGAAATAGTTGAGACCAAATTACACCTTGACTTTGGTGATACAGAGATTTCAAAATATTTGTGAAAAAGCATTCAAATTATGGTGTTTCTTTTTGTATTATTTTTAAACTTTGAATTAGAGTGCATTTCTTTTCATACTTTGTTCTAGTTTAGACCATCATTGATATTTTGCAGACATCATTTGGGAAACTCCTACATACAGTACAGACATTGTAAAGTTGGATTAGGTATGATGAAACAGATAGTACAAAAATTGAAAAGGATATTATTTGTAGAAAAATATAGTACACTTTATAATTTTGATTTTAACAGGCATTAATTTACTTTTCTTCCAAATTTATCCATTCTTCAATATTTTAGTTTAATCCTTATAATTTAATCTTTATTTAATTAACATATCTTTAGTAGAAATAAAATCAGTATAACTCTCACAATGAAATAGCATCTACTGATTATTTTTATTTCTTTTCTTAGTTGAGAAAATAATAAATTAGTTGTACTATTTGCCATCTACGAACTTTATTATCTACATCATAGTACAATATGCAAAGTTACTCTTCGACAATCTAAGTATCATAAGAAAAAAATTTAATGGGAAGTCCCCATAAATAGTTCATTCCTAAAGATTATTTATATTGACAATGACATGTGGTAATACCATTTTGCATTGTTTGAAAACATTACAATGTTATTATAACCCAATAAATTAATGAAATTATAATATTTTTCCATACTATCCTTACATATGGATAGTATATAGTATGATGCATGAAATTATAGTACAAATACTATAATTATAGTAGAAAATCCTACACTTTAACAGGTCCAAAATATTTCTTATAATAAATACCTACTGTTACTTTAATAAGCATAAATAATTTTAATTTTTTACTGATTATTTATATTTTTTTTTATTATACTTTACAACAAGGTATGGTTTCTTATGCTAAATATTATGATTAGACATCAAACCAAAAATTATTTGTATGAAATATACATAGTAAATTATTAATAACTTAACTAGGTATATGAATCTCAAATGTATTTCCGCTGGTAATTATATTATACATTTTAAATTTTAAAGGCTTTTTCACCATTTTTAAATTATTTTTGAAAAATTTAGCTTGTCATTTACCTTAGTACTAATAAATAAAATGCCCATGGAAGTAGCTGACTGTCCTGTCTCCAAATCAATATAATTTCATGACTCAATATAAATATATGATAGATTCAATTAATTTGAATGTACAATGTACTATAGATCATAAACTTATTTTAATTATGTTTTAATGTATGTAACCTCATGTAAAAATAATATACTACATATATTCATACTTTTTACATTGGTGCAATTTATAAATTCAAGATGAAAAATAAAGAAATGAATATTTTTAACTCACATGCTTTACTTTCCGAATTTGGGACATTTTCATTTTGAAGTTGCTTTTGAAGAACAGTGTAAATCACACTGTATGAATTGATGACTCCAAACAAAAGCCCATTTGTTATAAACGATCCAACAACTATCAAATAAGCTCTTAAACCACCATCAGGAGGCCCTTGTAAATCTTCATTGTTTGTTAAGCTTGCATCTGGTTCAATTTTTAAAACGTTATTCTTGTTAGTTCTTAGTAAATCAGTGCTTTCTTTAGGTTCAGTTTTCATAATGACTGTAAGTTGATTACAAATTCAATATATTATATGTATGAATTATTAAACAGTGCTCTTCACTGATGAAAACACATGGTCAGACTGCTATGCTTCTTGTATAACATTATAACATAGAGAAAGGATCTCATTTCACCAAAAACATAAATAATCTTGTAATTTTATCAACTATATAGCGAAATATTTTATTCAAATACAACGATCCTCTCTCATTTTTCTTTAATTTCAAAGGTTTTAAATGTAATTATTACGATCGGGCGCGTAATGCGCACGTGCGCTTACTTCACAAGCCGATATCGAACTGTAAATATAACTAACTACTCGTCGACTACTAGTACTATGTGTATGTCTACAAGCTTCAGATAAAAGTACTCTCTGTGTCTACGATTCTACATCAACAACCCATTTTTACCTATGCACTGTGCGCACACTACGACCACCTGAATCAAATCGTATAGGCACATACAAATATACCAAACAAATATACTTATTATAAATAATTAAATTATATACTTGTCAGCGCTGTTACAAATATATAATAAAAGATAATATACTCACAACAAAGTAATATGGTTGTAGCTAGTACTGATATTTTTTTTAAAAATCACAATGTAAAAAGATGGGAGATTTGAACGATTGCTTTTAGTATTCATGGATTATTCAAGTATGCATTTAAATTTACGAAGATTATTAATTCATTTAGCATAGGACACGTGTCAGACATGATTTTATTTATTTACTTTTTTTAATTCTTATCTAACTCAAAATCCATCGTAGGCAATTCATCGAATCAAGTCGATTCGTAATTAAATTTTTATAGAAATAAGTTCAACGCCAAGGAATTTATAACTTGTATGATTATGTACTTTAAAGGTTTAAATATACTGCTCAGAGAGGCGGTTGTAAGAGGATATAGATATATTATACCATGTAAGAGGATATAGATATATTTTATGTAGGTACATAGACTTTCGCCGAACAAATTGATAATTTTGACTAAAAATATTCTCAACGTAATGCTTGAACAGCTGACAACTCGTAGACTTGTCCCATTCCATCTTAGGCCCGATTTACACTGGTCAAGTGTTAAGTGAAATAAATAAGACAGTGTAAACCATCGGACAGTAGCGAGTCAACTTGACTTGTAAGCTGCCTCGCAACTAGACCAATTTTTTGATGCAAGAGCATCCCTCGCGCGCCCGCTTATCCCCCCGTGGAGCAATTGGCTCGTCACTCGTTGTAAATGGTCATATTATTACAGACGCACTTATTTTTTGACGTTACTCGTCAATTTCGATAGAGTTAGAGAAATGCCACTGTACTTGGTGTAGGGCAAACATCCACTTGTCCGGCTACTGGCCACTGTACTGGTAGAGTACCACTCGCCACTGTCCTTGACCAATTTAAATCGTGCTTTAGCTTTTCGCTATCACTATCGAGCACAACCACACAATCGTCTACAGATAGTAATCAGGCAGTGCTATGTACGGAGCGAACTTATTTTATTTTTAGTATATAATAATTTCTTCGGGGCTTAACAGTCAAACAATATAATTATCTCTAGCCCAAAACTCACTTTCCATATTCTAAATGAATCAGACATACAAATTGATTTTTTTCTATAACAAGAGACCTTTTGTTGTTAATTATAATTACATAATAGGTGTTTATAATTATTTGAACTTATACCTTTTTCCATTTCAATTTTTGTTAGATCGAAAATTAAAGTGAATTAATCAAAAATTTGTTCAAAAGTATTTCTTACTATTATAATTTGAAATATTATAATTCAAATATTATAATGTGAAGCTTTAATAAACCTTCTAAACCTAGTTATCTGTATACAGGTTTAGTTAAGCTTCATAAAGTTGATGTTTATAATTATATAGGTAATACAAAGAACTGATAAATTTCACAAATGGGTTTTGATTCTATTCTAATATACCTATCTAATTATATTGTATATATGTAAAAGCATAAAAATAACTAAAGTACACTGGCAGTTATAAAATATTCCCGTTAGATATAAATTTGAAGGAAAAATTCTTGTTCATGATTTTTTTTTATGTGAAAAGTTGCCAAGCGAGCAGGCGGTTCATCTGATGTTATGTGAATACCGCCGCCCATGGACATCTGCTACACCCGAGGGTTGCACTTGCGTTGACAATCTTTTGAAAATTGGGCTCCGGCTACCTCACGAAACGCGAAAGTAGTATAGGTACTTTCACTTGAAGCCGGTCTTCTGTGAGGTCTTGGTACTTACCCGGACGAGCCTGCCCACTCGTGCAACAGCCGAGGCTGCTGCATGGCCCACATTGTGACAATGGGAGAAATAAAAGTCGAAAGGGAGTAGTATTGCAGCGAGTACCTACTTCCTGTGATGGATATGGAAGAATATAGAAGAAGGAAAAGCAGGAGAAAATGGTTTGTGTTAGAAAGTAGGTCGAAAATTCAAAGGTATGCCGTGAAATAGGAACGGCGGCGGTAGGGAATTCAGGAAACCCATTTTTTATGTGAAAAAGTAGTTGCAAGTAAGCTGAAGGTTCAAGTGATGGTAAACGACCGCCACCCATGAACTTTGGCAATACCCGTAGGGTTGCAGATGTATTGCCCCTTATTATAAAATGTTCCCCGGCTACCGCACTCCACAGACGAAACACAGAAGTATAGCACTTCCACTTCACGACATTCTTCTAGCCATTTGTGCAATAGCAAAGACTATTGTGTGGCGCTATCACCGAGTTGGCAATCTTCACGTGGTATCACAATCTTCACAATAGCTTAAAATATGATTTAATTCAATATTGTGTTTTAATACTTGTGTGATAAGAAAATATAAAGTTTTTGTACATTGTAACAAGTTAAAATTAGGTACTTTATTGTTTTAATCTGCATAATTCATTGTTTTTAATGAAATTAATGATCATTTTTAAAAATTACAGTACTGTTTATCTAATAAAATTATGAAAATTGTTAAAAGTTAAAATTATTATCATATAAGAATGGGGAAATAAACAGGCAAACAGAGCGTGCTCCCCGTATTGTATAGTGTTGGAGGGTGAATTTCAGGCGTTCTAGGCTATACACCCATTATATTTTAGTTTGTCGTACCCAATATGATAAATAAATATTGGCCCTTTTTGCGTAGTCCATACATGTAAATCGTTGCCTCCTAACTTAATATCTAAGTAATGAGCTTCGTACAAGCTAACGGTGGCAAAAGTACGCTTGTTAGCAGACGACTGAAATAGGCCAGAGAATGCGCTACCGTCGGTAGCTAATATGAAGACCAGGTTGCAAAAGGAGACAAAGAAATGCGACTTCAGAAGAGTCATCGGCAAAAAACAGCGACAGGCGCGACCCCAACTACCCACACTACGGAGACGTCAACAACAACTCAGATGTAACAGTGATTCAAAAAAACGCTACGGCGGGGAAGTTACAAGAATTAAAGAAGAATGAGAATACTGAGGGAGCGAAGCAAAAAGGGACAGCGATATCCGCATCTAAGGTAGGGCAACGACCAACCGAAATAGAAGCTGAACGAGAATTACCATTTTTTATCTTTAATTTGTGTGACCCACAGATAGTTGTTTCACAGCTGGTGGTTTATTCACGTTATGTTTATAATATGTCCTTGCAACACAGGATAATGTTATTTTAAAGCAAGGTCAGTTTTTTTATAATAGAAATAAGAAGAAGAAAGTGCATACCAACGTCATATCATATCCAAACCAGGAGAGCCCGATCTTAACTGGAATTGGGACAAAGACATGCCCGCCCTCTTTGCGGTCGACAGCGCGTTCTTCACGTCTTCGAAGAGTGCGACGTATGCAGTGAGGAATGCTGGCTAGATGAATGGGGGATGTTTATCAATGTTGACAAGACGCCCGCCACCTACATCAGGTTTATCATCAACATGCCTCTGCTAGAGCATCGTGGTCAGGCGATCTACATCCAGAACATGAAGGTTGACCACATGGCTCAACAGGCCAGAGCGGCGAGAGCAAAACTCTATCCTGCCCTCACATCTCAAGAAACTGTTAAAATCCAAACTTCATATTTGCAAGCCAGTTGGGCATAATATGTCTGCTCTTCCTGACGGGCCGACGTGAACTGCTGCGGTCGTGAAGAGGCCGGGAAGCCTCGCAACCACCGCGGACCGTGATTTACATCAACATCATCGAAGATCACGTCGTTGGTAACACAAACCACTGCAGTAGGGAATAGCTAATAGCCATCAACCGACTGAACATTGCCATTTCGAGCCCACGCCCGAGCAATGGGGAAATATCCACGAGCCTCGAAACAAGACAGGCCTTGGCCTGCAAATCCAATAACTTCTTCTGACTTCATGTTGGTCTCCGAATAATAGGACAACTAACAAAAGAACGTCTTTATTTTATCACCTCCCCAACACCCCGTCAATGATGTAAAACTAAGCTAGGGAAACAAAGAAGAAAGAACTAGTGAAAGGATTATGAAAATCAGAGGTTATCGATTTTCGTAATCCTTTCACTAAGTCAATGACAACAAATTGTTTCACAATTTTACATAATAAAAATGAATACATGAAAAGAGATCTAAATAGATTATGATATGTAGGTACCTAAGACATTTATGCAATTCATAGATATGCCAGAAAAAAGTTTAGGCAATTCGTAGTAGGGATGCACGCGAAAGCATATAAATGGTTCTTAAGTTCAAAGGGCAGAAAGAAGCCGTTATACTACAAATCATGCTTATTTAGAAACAAAAGTAAATATGCAATTAGGTTATTAAGATATTGAAAATATTTCACTTACGTGTAAGCAAATGGTGATAATTAAAAAAATAGAGATTAAAAATAAGTAATTCCTAGGAGAAATGTCCCACTAAACTTATTACAAATATTCTCAAAATTCATTAAATATTCCACAGTCAACGTTTATTTCTTATTGTTACATAATTGGGTTACAAAAAGAGGAGATATACACCAAAGAGAATGTAATCACTACGTTTACTTACACCATACATACGATACACACCATACGTAATTCTACACAGGGGGTGACAACGACAAAGAAAAGCAAAGAAATAGAAATTTAATGCAGTAAAAAGTTGATACATATTTCGAAGTAACTCTTATTAACATTCTTTCTAAGGACTATATAGCCCATTTTAGGCATTTTAAACCGCAATCTGTGGAATAATTTCTAGTGAGCTGAATTTTGTATTTACGGCGTTTTAATGAAGATGTGAAAAATCGACATTGATATGGTGCCGGGTAAAAAAGGTTAAAAGGCTATATATAAAAATATACATATTTAACATTCATAAAATCATTCTCTTCATCATTTCATTATAAAAGTTAGGCAATAATAAACAACCAGAAGTGTTCATTGGCGTATTCATTGAAAACCGCCAAAAAAGAAAAGAAGAAGGTTAAAAGGTCATGAAAATCTGTTTATCGCAAATATCTCGCAACCTATTGCTAGGAGGTCAATAGAGATCATTATAAATTTTTTTATCGTGAAAATATCTACAAAAAATGCCTCTTGAATTTTTCTATAAAACTAACCGTTTTCGGAGGAGAGCGCTGAGAAAACGACTAGAATACTTTATTTATACGGTATTGTATACCGTACCCTCACCCGAAAACTCTATTGCTTTTTATTCATGTTTGTTTGTCTTAAAATCTTCTATCTCATACTTGGGCGTTTTGTGATAATACATATACTTATATTATAGAGGTTTGAGGACTTAGTAAAATCTACTACATACTACGTATTTTATTGTTCCGAGACCCGTCCCTTTGTACGTGCTACTGCCGACTCTTGAGTGTTAAAAACGTTATTTTAGTACTTTCATGCTCTTGAACAGTTTTTATAATGAGTAATACATGTTTTATATGTAATGAATTGTTATCGGATAGTGATGTAGTAGAAGTTAAGAGTACAAAGGAATGACAAACATTAAAAAATGCCAGCATCGCTAGAGGTGATGTTAATATTATATTACAGGTATATTATATAGGTATATTGCGGCTATTAAACGACGCCAAAAAGAACCGAGTACATCAATATCTCCGCGTAGGATAAGATTAAATTGAATTCAAAAAATTATAATTGTTTTATGGAGTAAAAGCGACCGAAGTAATTGAGAGAAAAAAATACAGACTCGTTACAAGAGCAGTGAGTACTCTTACATTTAAAGACACAGTATTAAAAGCTGCAGAAGCGCGCGGTAGGGTAAATAAGGGAGAAGTTTATAGGAGCGTGGAAATCTCTCTTAAATAAAAACCTCTTATTACATATCATGGATTATGCCAACGCGGAAGCCATGGAAAAAAATGCATTTGTATTCTACCTGGAAGGTGTTGAGGAAACGAGTGCATCGTCAAAATATAGTCTCTTTCTTAGCGCTCTACTCCGAAAACGGTTAATTTTATAGAAAAACTAGCGACCCGCCCCAGCTTCGCACGGGTGCGATATTTTATACTTACATATAAAACTGTATCTTGAATCAATCTCGCCCGGTTTCTGAATCACTGATCATCGTCAAGTAATCAGCTGTCAAATGGCTTTTCAAATTTCATTTTAGTTGCCAAAAGGATAGTTAAACTCAGTAAAGGTAAAATAATACACGGATTCAAGATTAAATTATGGTTTATTAATGTCATGAAATTGATCACTGATTAACACTATTTATTTATTTTTTATTTCGCCAACCAAACTCTTAATAGAAGGCATTTCTTCTTTAAGTTTTGATTCAATTTCACTTTTTTCATCATCCTTTGCTGTTAAAAATTTAGATACCAATTCTGAAAGCATAAAAAAGTGTAAAATAATTATTTTTCCATAATGGTTTTATCATGCGAAGTAAGTATGGTAAATGAGCATTATTGAAAGACAAATAAATTAATATAATTTACGAAGTGTTATTTCGGTGCCCTTTCAGCTTGTTTCTTTCATTGGTTTGTCTCTGTTTATAAATTATATATACAGTAAAACTCTTATCAGATCTCATCACTAATATATAATGTGGAAAGAAAAATGAAATATTACGACTTACATTAGAACTATTTTATAAAGTTATCTTGTGAAGACCATATCTCCAAAGCAAACTAGTATGAATATGTACAAGTATTTAATGATCTCAAAGAAATCGATGCACAGCAAAGAGACGTTTACATTTCAAGTGCATTTACCACAGTCACTCACTTGTTTTGCCTTCCCAGAACCCCTCCACTAAATAAGTTCAAATTGACTTTTAAGTATTATTACGAATCTTTTGTGCGGGAATATAGAAAAGTGTTGTCTTTAGGCTTTTTCAGGCAATTTTTTTATATATATATACATATTTTTTTATTTTTATAGCAGGTTGCACAAGGAGAATTATATCGTAAGAAAAAATTGACTGGTAAACTCTAGAAAGGCTTGTGTATAAAACACATAAACAAATTATTTCCAAATTGAGACACAAAAGAAAAGTAAATCCAGTAAGATATTTTATACTATAATTACTTTTCTTATGTGACACCATAAAATTTGTAGTATGTAAACAGTGTCCCACAAATAAAGTAAAATTAGAAATATCTCTATGAAACAAATAAATTAAATAATATTTATTACCATGGTAATGCTGAATTTTTAAAAAATCTTCTTCTTTAAGTTGCGTTTTGAGAAATAGTATTATCGATGGCACTTGACGCCCAGAAGCATGAAGAATATTTTGAGTTACAATAGTAAATATTGCCAGAACAGCTAAGTGCAAAACCAATGCTGGATCATTGCAGTTATCAAGTCCTGCAATTAATTTCTCTCTGTGGTTTTGTATGAAGAGTCTGAAATAACATTGTAACAAATTTTAATAAAATATGGTTAAATGATAAAAAAGCCATAATTTTATATTCAAAAGTCTCAATGGTATATGTCATAAGTTGAGTGCGATCAGATGAATATTTTTGTTTTATGTGTAATTTGCCAAGCGAGCAGACGGTACACCTGATTTTAAGTGAATACCGCCGCCCATGGACATCTACTACACTCAATGGTTGCAGATGCGTTGACTACCTTTTGAAAATTGGGCTCCGGCCACCTCACTCACGAGAGGAAACGCGATAGTATTATACGTCCACTTTACGCCGGTCTTCTGTGAGGTCGTGGTACTTACCAGGACGAGTCTGCCCATTCGTGCAACAGCCGAGACTGCTGCGTGGCCCTAAAACCTACCACCGTCATATTCGCTTTATCGTATATATATTCACCTGATCGGAGCCTGGTGAATATTCGCTTTATTTATATTTACATGCCTTATATATATCGTAATATATAAGGCGTTTAAAATTAAAACAGGAACATCAAAGCCCTCGAATGACAGAGATCTGTCCATTACAAAAGTTTGGTTGCAAATGAACAAATATTTTCCACTTTTACCACATAATCTTTTAAACTAATATATTTAGAAAAAGTTTTAACAAATCAATTACTGATGTCATAATTCGTTTTCGAAGTTATACATAGACCTGACGAAGTTGTAAATTGTAAAATTTTATAACCTAGCTGTGCCCGCGACTTCGTCCGCGACGAATTCAAAATAAAAAAAAATCTCAAATAAAAGTAGCCTAAGTTACACCTTATTACATCAGCTATCTATTAGTGAAAGCCCCGTCCAAATCGGTCAGAGATTAGCCGGAATAAACAGACAGACAGACAGAAAAAAATTGTAAAAAAATGTTATTTTGGTATATGTACCGTGTATACATCCATATGCATTTACTAAAAAGCGGTTATTTTAATATTACAAACAGACACTCCAACTATATTTATCTGTATGTATGTATAGATGAAGGGGCGCGGAACTTTAACACAGCACCGAAAGTTTTTGTTAATATATTATGAGTGCACTAAAATAAAAATTAACCCTTTAATTGATAAAGTTGATTACAAAGCGAAAAACTGCAACCAACTTCACGATATTACCATCGCAACGACCAACAACTTATTGAAATTTACCAATAATTCAAGTTATTTAATTGAATTATTATCAATTACATTTACTATCTTTTTCACAAATAAATAGTACTGGCAACAGGGGATACAATTTTGAGTTATCTTTCTTTTCTTACGCTAAAGTATACTTTTTTTTAAGAAAGAGAAATATTTCAAGACTACGAAGATTTTTATTATAAACGCAGGTAATAAAATACCTATTTTTGTTTTCAAAATCTCATCTACAATTAGACGAAGTAATTTTGATTTTATTAGCATTATGAGACTGATGGATGCTTGCGTGAGAATAAAAAATTACCTAGGATATGAATATACTTGTACCAATGATGATTTACGACTGAGACTTGATGATGGTATGTGATGAGCAACCTTTAAACAAGACTGGTGTAGTTAATTATCAATGGTAATTGCCCATTGGCTGATTCTATTCCAATTTTTTAAATAAGACAAATCTAATGACAAATTACTCGTAGCTATAAAATGTAGAACAACTATTTCGTCTATTTTGTGTTTTTTTATTATTTTGTCCGAAGTTATGAAGCCGAAGGGAAAATTTTCTCGCCAAGAATATTATCGCGAAAAGACGCGGCCTAGACCTAAGAAATGTTATAATGTTTTTATCTGAAAGTTTATTTTCATCTTTAAAATCTTATTATCACAAGAACTCGACACATTCTGAAGGCAGATTTTTTTTATTTCGGACATAAATATTTTGCGATATTCCAATGTTTGTTAATAACATTTAATAAAAAAAACAGTGTTTGCACTTGAAATTGCCTTGGTATTATAGACAAAAGAACGTATAGTTAAATATACATACTTATCCTTTTTTTTATCCACTTTTTTCAATATCATCCCACATTCAGACAGACAGATATCAACAGCTTGATAAAACAAATCCATATTTTGACTAGAAAGAGTTGCATTTAGAGCCTTCAGAGGTTTCATATACTCATCAGGAAGGTCATTAATAATTTTATTTCTCAGCTCTATAGATAAAACATCAACTTGGACAGACAAATTGCATTGATTTGCTGCATATTTACAGAATTCAGACAGAGTGTCACCACCAAAAGATTTTAAAAGATATTTTATATACTGAGAGTGTTGATCAGTAGGTAATAGCTTGAGACCCTTTTCATATAGTTTAATATCATTTACAAGTACATTTATTCTGTCTTGAGCAGATGAATGTGTTTGTTTTCTGTTTTGGTTGGCATCTTGAAGTAATTTTTCTGCTATTTCTTTAGCAGCGGCCAAGGCAGCTTGATTCAAAGACCTGTAAAACGTTATAAAAATATCAATGTGAACCGCATGTAAATGTCAGCAAAAGTATGCAACTATTTATTATTTACAATTGGAAAGTTAAGGATTCTGTTAATTAAAAAATAATTGGAAATTAAGTTTTGTCATTATGTGGTTATACAGCGTGTCTTTACAATCGCGACAATAAATGAACACACATATAGAGGATAACTTTTTAAAATTGTTTTAAATATTTACATTATTTAAACATCAATATTTACAGAGTTATTAAATTTTCCAAAACAAAGAATTTTAAAACACCCTCACGTCTAAAACTGTAACGTAAAGTTCATTTGTAAAGGTCACAAAGCATATGAATGGGTTGAATGAATTTAAAAAAGACAAAACATACTGTTAGAAGGAGAGGCTTGTAATGCGACGCTGTGGCGCGAGTTGTATAGGATGTTACAAATTTTGTTTCTTATTTAATTAATTAGTTTGTTTGAAAAATATTTTTTTAATTATGGATTTTGTTTAACGTTAATATTTTTTTATGATTATGGGCAAGTAGCGTTAGACGTGTGTTCATTTATTGTCGCGATGGTAACGACACGCTGTATATGGTATAAATCCTTTAAACACATTAATGTTTACAAAAAATATTTAAAATTACCAATGTATATCTTCTGAAAGGTAAGTCAGTAAGTTTTCCAGACCTTCAGCTTCTAGAGACTCTGTTATAACATTTTCAATATCTTCAATAGAGACTATTTCTAACTCAGTGGGTGCACTTTTACCAACATAAGATGGTTCATCAGGATCATGGGCTTGCTGTTTGGATCTTTGATGCTTTTTCACTGCTTTTGTTTTTGTTTCTCTTCCCTGTGTACCTCCACCACCTTTACCAGAGGCTGCTTTCCTTCTGCGCTCTTCACGCCGTTCCGCTTTGTGATCTACATGGGTAAAAGGTACAGCAGCTGTTGTTCTTGCTAATTGTTTTTCCATGTTAAACTGTTGATATTTTCCTGATTTCACAACTTCTTCAGCTTGCTTCTGCACCATAGGCATGCAAGAATTCTGCAAATTTTCGATAAATCCATGGCTGAAAACTGAAATAAATGTTGTTATGCTATGTGTATTGTATTTAATACAACAGGATGTATAAAATTTAATTTATTTGTCATTTTTCAATATTACCTGTATTCTCAAATAGTACAATAGGTTTGGAAGTACTTTTTAACAATGTCATCACAACTTCTTCAATATCATTATCTGATAATACAGATGGCAGGAAAGAGACAAGGTCCAAGTAACTATTTGATACAACACACTCTTCTAAAGCCATTTCCAAATTTTGTATTATTTGGGAACCAATAACACAACTGTCCAGAAATGTTAGTTCTTCATTTGGTAGGAACCTCTTCACATAACTCTTTGGATCAGAAATTCCCAAACGTATAAGTGCATCATATTCAAGATAATTATTCTGTTTATAAAAACTCATAACCCATTCATTTTGTGACTTAGTATAGCAAGATGGAACATAAAGCGCTCCAGTTTGACGGCCTGTCAGTACTCCTGGAGCACAAACATGATCAAATAGTGATAAGAAAAGCCGTTCTGGTAAGTTACATTGGCTTATGATAACATTTATGGGTGTTGGTTTCAACAATCCCATTAAAGCTCCTCGAATTTTGGCCTTTATTCTAGCTATAAACTCTTCTGTGTAAAATGTCCTTGGTTCAGAAGCATCCTGTCGTCCGATTATTATTTTCCCTAAATATCGTTCTAAGACATTGTGCTGTAAAAGTTCTGCAGGAAGGTCATATTGCAAAGTTAACTCACCAACAGATACTTGACCTTGTAGCTGAAGTTTTTCATTTATTTCTCGTGCAATCTTTTCAAGGTAGTAATGTGCAATCAAATATCCTGACACTAATTGAACCTCTTTGCCTCTTATTATTTCACCAATGTTAGCATTTATCTGACTTAAGTCCACATTTAACTCTTTTGCCAAATCCACTGTATTTATGCGGCCCCCATGAACATAAAGTTCATCCTTGATTTCTTTTACAAGTTGCTGTGGTGTTAAATATTCTTTACCATCAGTGGTAAAAATTACTTCAATAAGTTTAAGTTCAATTAATTTTGTGACGATTTCAACACAATTTCTTTCTGATAATCTGAAAAATAATAAATACTTCATTTAATAAAATATTTTACACATAGTGTATATAATGTCAGTAGGTATATATTACAATACTGTAACATACAATATATTGAAACTTAAAATTGTTACCTTTGAGATGTAGAACTAAGTTGAGCTTTTTGAAAATCAGCAGCTAGTCTTTTTATTTCATCCCAATCAGTTGATGGAGCCATACCTGTAAATTTTAAAATTTTCCAATTCACAAGGTACTTTGGGGCTTTGTAAGACTGTTGTAAAATAACATTTTTCTCTTACTTTCTCAAGTTCTTGAATTGTTTATACAAATACTGTTGTTGATGTTTAATTATTCAATATATCGAAGTATTGGATGTTGTGTTAAAATCTACACACTACAATATCAGTGCCACTGTCATCGCTCATATTGTCACGTCACGAATCACGAACTCACGATACGCAATACACATGGCGCATGATCGTAAGAACTTACGGCCTTCTATCGATTTTAAGCACCTATCTAATATTTATTTAAGTAATGCCATAGATAAGACATATATACTGAGTAATGTGATATAAATATAATTGTAATTTGTACTGAAGAAGAATCAGTTTGGAAACTGGCGAACACATACAATAGCTAATGTATCAAAAATGTTGTTTATATGAGTTTCACATTTTATTAATGTAAGTAAATATAACTTAGTTTTAATTACTTTTCATTACAAATAATAGTGATACATGAAATATTATTCATGACCCTAAAATTGGCCCTTTTTGGATCTTAAAAAAAGCCCAATATGCATATTTCCGGCCTAAATTTGAAATTAAAAGTCCTAAGTTGGCAAGCCTGTACTAAACTGATTTTTAACTGACTTCAAAAAGGAGGTTATCCGTTACCGGTCGTGGAATATTAGTGGCATCACACTAAAGAATTCACTTCCAAGAAGGAGGTTATCAATTCGGATGTTTATACATCATATATTTCATTTTATTCATCATCATTATTTTAATGTATGTTCGAGAATAACTCCGTTGTATAGAGACATATTTACAAAATATTTTTTTTGTTCGAAAGGGGTTGATTTCGAAATGGTCCCATTTAAATTTCTCTAATGATGAGTTTCGGAGATAGACAATGGAACTCTCCAAAAAATGACAGTAAATCAATCGACTGCTGTTGTTTTGCGCAATCATAAAACATAACATCACGCGCGATTGGTAATCTTTGTAAATAAATGTATGTCCAAAGAAATATCCGTCATTTAATAGGTTAAATGACGGATATTTCTTTGGGCATACAAGATACGTAACATATAAGATTTTTTTAACAATCTAATTTCGCGCCATTTTGGCCTCCCATTTGAAAAGCTTAGAGATTTTATTTCCTAGTTTGTTTTTAATCGTTTTAATCGATAACTTGGTGCGCCGTTGCTAAGCTATGGATTTCTGCGTCAAGAGTCGTGGGTTCAATTCCACAGATAATTGTTCCAGTTCTGGGTGTTTGTTTCCCAAGGAGGGTTAACGTCAGGCAAGTGGCCGGTCGTAAAAAACATTTTTAACGTTTACGTTAACCGCTGTTTTGTTACGCACGAAAACCGCTTTAAACATGATTCAAATGTTGTGTCGACCCCAACAGGGTAGGATAAATGACATGAAAATAATTTGATATGACGAAGATGGTGTATTGACATTGACATTTCTTTTCTTTAAAAATAAAATACTTTGTCTCCCTCGTCTAAATTCGTCAAACATTCTGTCTATGTATAGTAAATTTTTTGCATGCATCATTCCGCTTAAAATTCTACTCTAGTTCTTGGTAGGATTCCGAGTGTACCACCTCTGTTTGATTTAGGAATAATGCTGAGAAAAGATAGGCAGACAATCTGAATATGCAGAATTACCCTGCTTGTTTGGGTTATCACAATGTCTCGATGGATATTAAATGGCTTTTAGCCCGTATACGCTTATGCATCTTTTAAAACAAAGTAAGAAAGTAAAAATTACTGTTCTGCTGGTGCTGCACTAACAGGAATTGTACTAAGCTGCAATAGGACTTTAATATTTTGATTTATTAAGATTGAATCGGAATCCTTTAAATATTTTTTTTCCTTTTTTGTTACCCTCGACTTGAATGCACTTACTACTGCCGAAATATGAGTATAATTTAATATTTGTTTCAATGTAGTAACAATTTTACGACAGTTTTTAAATCATTATTTCTGTTCTTTGAAATGTATGGTAAAAAAACACCCAGCTAAAATAACCTGTATTTGCCTGCATCCTATAGAATAAATTTTAATTATGTAAACTCCCTAGTGAAATAAACAGTAATGTAAGACCAATATAAACGTATTATTAGAAACATAAAAACAACAGCCCCACACGGAAAACCTCAAACTAGTGAGTATTATGAAGTCATATCACATCACTCATACACTCGCACCCCCACACAAGACCACCACTCCGATATTCACACGTTAATCTATTTATTTCTTTTCGGGTTATTTCAAAGATAGGTATATAGATTTTTTTTTGTGTCAACATCTTTGTATATGAAAAATGCATTCTTAGTAAAGAACTGTAGTGCGGGGCGCACTACAGTCCCTAGGAACGTGACTGACAGGGAAAACTTAGGTCAGGGGCTCGAATCCACGTGCTTCCCGCACATAGATAAAATCCCCGATAGGATCTTCAATCTCACGTCAACATTAAAATAGTCATTGGAGACTGTTCCGATCCACTTATTATTAATTATATTTCTAATTAATCAACTTAATATTCCTTTTAATGGCAGCACTACTCCTGTTTGCCGAAAATTTCAGGGGATTTACCAATCTCTAGAAGTTTATCTCCAATCAATCAATTTCCGTCCTTATTTAAATATTCTAAGAAGTGAAGTTTATGTGATGGATAAATGACGGAAAATTTACTACGTTGTCTTTTATTCTAGTTATGACGTGTTCCAAATACAATACGTCTCAAATATTTAAATCTAAGAACTGTTTCAATATCAAGCTCTTAGAATAATTTTAATTTTAAATTAATAAAGAGAGATTTTACGTTATTAAGTTTTTAGTCAGTGGTTTGTGTTTAGTGTTTCATATGTTATTTAAATTGACTAATAATTAAAAAAACAAACATAATCAAAACTTGTTTTGTTTCCTAATATTGTTTTTGCTTTAAAAAAATCTTCTTTATTTTTAATTTAGGCATGGAAACACCGCTCAATTCATAATAATAATAGGTTCGGCCTAAAGGACCCGATTCCAGGGCCGTTAAACTAATAAAAAAAATCACAATAATCGGATCCTGCTGTCAGAAATTAGCAATCAGTCAAAAATCAAAATCATTAAACCAGTAATCAGAAACTCAGTGATCACAGAATTACGCTCTGAAATTGAATAGGTCTGTAATTTGTATTTTGTTGTGTATCATATATAAGACTTGTTCTAGTACAATGTTTAAAAATAATAAAGAAATAAATTAATTTATGGCGTTTAGGTTTCATCAAATGTTAATTTATTTACAGACTAAAAATTAAGAAAATTCATTCATAATGGAAGGAGATTCTAAATCTTCGAAGACTTTTTCAGGAATTCCTGAAGCAGTATTTGTTGTAAGTCTGTATTGATTTCAGCTGTTTAATAAGATTATTTTTAACTTCCCCTTTAATCTTAGATCGTTTGTAGATTATAGGTTATGTTGAAAAGTACACCTGTTTTAAAATTGATTTTTTTTTTACATATTTTTAACCTTATTTATGTATACTTTTTATTTTTATCTCAATAAGTTATGTGCAACTTAGTGAAAATGTCTTTTACTCTGAAGTAATTCAATATAGTGGTGGTGATTTTGAAAATAATAAGCATATATGATTGTTTTTGACTGCCAATTTTTAATTACTTTAAATATTTGCTAAAAAGTTTTTAAATACTATAATTATACTATTCAGTGTAAAATCTTTAAAGAATTAAATAATTCTCTTGTTTGTTAGGACAATGTAGATGAATTTATGAGCCTGCCTGAAAATTCTGGAGGTGTTGAAAAGGTTTTAAGAAAATTAGATGAACAACATGGGAAATATAAATTCATGGAATATACTTTGGCTTCCAAAAGAAGAAGGCTACGTCAACAAATACCAGATCTTGCACGATCTTTGGAAATGATTGAAAAATTAAAATCTGAAAAGGAAGACATGCAAACTCATTTTCTTTTGAGTGATCAAGTTTTCGTGAAGGTATGTTTTTAGGAAAATTATTTTATTATTTGTGTTATATCTGAAATATCATAATTATAGCCTGGGTAACATTTTCCATTAGTGCTGGGTGGTTTTTGAACTAACAAAAGTTTTAGTAAATGTAAATAACTTTAACATTGGCATAATTCAATTAAAATAAATTTTAAACGATAGAAAAAAATCACTGACTGAAACTCACTGACAACCAACTAAATTTGATTTGTGTAATTTATTCATTAGTTAATTTTCTCTTTCATTTAAAATTTATTTTATTTGAATTACGCCAACGTTAAAGTTATTTATATTCGCAAAACTTTTGCCTGCAAATAGTACAACATAAGTTCATCCGCCGCGCAACTGGTGCGCAGTGGTATGAACGCAACGTCGACCTGCACAGCGATTGTAGACTCCCGACGATTCGCGAATATTTTAAAGACATGACCAAACGGTTCTTCTATAGAGCTGAACATCATCCCAACCCTTTGGTGGTAAGCGCACCAACCCGACACAGACGCGAACGTCAACAAGCGTCGCCCACGAAACTTCCTCATCGACCTGGTCGAGGAAGGGGACTTAGATAAGTCGGACCCACCGCCGGAGGTACCGCCGGATAACACTACACCCACAGTTAGTGCATCAACAAACACACTAGATCGCCCTCGCCTCCGAGCACGACGAGACCAACATAACGCGTACACAAGGTACACCCGTGTTCCGGGGCGCTCACCGCTCCCAGCCACAGATAGCAAATTGCACAGTCGACGGCCATCGGGGTTTCGGTTCGAAGCGCGACCTCGATGGCCCTTAGATTAGACACCATAGTTAAACGCACGCATGACCACATGCGTGGCCCACAGCGGGGGGCCCAAACCTGTGGGTCTGGATAGCCCACCGGTTCTCTGCGTCAGATGAAGCTTTAATAGTCTCGGGACTGAAAGCACAAACGTCAGTATGTCATCATACAAGATACAAGATTTGCATTTTAATAATAATAATTCGAATTTCTTTGATTGAGATTTATACGATAGGTACGATTTTAGTTTTGCTCGGTATACCGATATTCTTGATTTTGGTTTGCGATTTGGTTATTTGTTAGGAACAATAGTAGATTTCACAAGTGGACAAGTGAAATATTTATATTTTATAAATTTAAATTTTTTGTTTACAGTTAGATAAGAATATATCAATTTACTATTATAAATTAAATTATAATATATTATAAACTAAAAAATTTCTTCCACAAAGCTCTTTTCACTTTTGATTCTTACCTAACCTCAAGGGACATTGGAAGGCGGTTTTCTACTGTCTGGGCGCTCTTTTTAATTCAATATTCTCCAGAAACTTGGTTCAATTCCCTGATGTTGGTACCAATGATATTGTTAATTACATTTTTAAGTGCAAAATGATTACTTGCTCTGCGGTGAACGAAATTATCGCCAGGAAACCTGCATATTCGAAATAATAAAAAAAATCCAAGATATGTCAAGTCTACCAATCCATGATGGGTGGTGGACACTCTGCAACCCTCTGTAGATAGCGTCTCTGTCCAGTAGTAGGATGTCACTTTATTTATTCTGCACCTGCGTCAAATTTTCACTACTCCGAGAGTTAGATGAGAGGAGATTTTTTGGAGCATAAAACTGCATCTGATGATGAATAAAAAATACTATTGTTACAGGCCAGTATTAATCCAACGAAAACAGTATATTTATGGCTTGGAGCAAATGTTATGTTAGAGTATACTCTTGAGGATGCTGAAAAATTACTGACAACAAATATGGCAACCGCAAAGAAAAATTTGTCATGCGTTGAACATGATTTAGATTTCTTACGGTATGAATATTTTATTTAAATATGCCATTCATATATTTTTCAATTGGAAAATTGCAACTGATCAAAAAATTAAAAGTTCTGTGGTAAATACTATTTAATATTCATCGAAATAATAAAGCATAAAAAGGAATTTTATTGGATTAAAAAATTTAAATTTGTAGAAAATTTTAAAAACTTTGTAGAAAATTAAAATCTTAAGTGCAGAGATAAGCACTATAAAAAATTTAAATTCCTGTATTGAAAAAATAAAATTATGCTTTTTTCTTCTTTTGTAATAAATGATTAATTAATCAATCATTCTCATAATTTTTATTATTTTTAGGGATCAATGGACCACTACAGAAGTAAATATGGCTAGAGTTTATAACTGGGATGTTAAAAGACGTCAGGCTGCAAAAGCATCTTAAGAATATTGATTATTTACGGCATAGCAAGAATGCCACAATATAACCATGATTAAATGAATAAATAAATGTTTTAATGTTTTGTATTTAATAAGTGGTAACATTTAATATGTATACTTTAACTAATTTTCTTAAATAATATTTCGTATAACATAAATGTTGGTAATATTTAATTAAAAGTTACCCATGACTTTTTAACCGACTTCAAAAAAGAGGCAGGTTTCTCAATTCAACTGTATATATTTCTTTGTGTATTTGGGGTAACATCGTCGTTTATGAACCGATTTTGATAATTCTTCCAAGGGTGGTACCATGATAAGGAAACTCGGATCTGATGATGGCATCCCAGAGATATCGAGGGAAATTCAAATAGGTTTGAATGTTATAGGTTTTAACAATGTTTTTATTTCCTGTTTGAAAGTCTGAAGTCGGATTTATTTTTTGATTTGAATATATTATAAGATACCAAAATAAAAACTCCAGTAACTTTTGATTGACCATTTTTTTAATGTTTTAACATTTTTTTTGTGTACTGAATATTTACTAAATTCCGATTCCATCGACTTGGCGGAATAATAAAAGGGACAAACTCACGTAGAATGGGGATGTACTCATTAGTTACGGACCTATCGAAGTTCCTTCGTCAGTTTGAGTGGGATGACGTCTTTACTTGGATCTAGAAATTGAACTCAAATGTAAATTTCTTAATTCCCCAAAGTTGAAAAGCTTTAAAAATTATTTTTTAAAGCTTTTCAACTTTTTAGGTTTTATTAAATGTAAACCTTACAATTGTGCTGAAATGTAAAGTTATCTTAGATTATTTTTATCTTAGAAGTTAGTAACTACTAAGACTAGTTAGTAATCTTAAAAGTTGCAATGAGCGAAAACAAATATGGAATATATAAAACTATCAAACGCTCTAGCCCATACCCTAGCTGGAAAATAAACCACTTCTCAGTACCTATTTCAAAGGAACTGGTCGAGGCAATTACCTTTTTTTCAATTTTTAGAAATTATAATTTTATGTTTTCTATGATTTATTGCATACTTAGGCGTTTCAATATGATTTGTAAAAAACGCATTACAAATCTTACTATAATAAAAGGGTAGATATGTTTATGATTTTTTTACATTGGATATATTTATGACCAAATCACAAATGATTAAAAAGCGTGCTCAAACATGCGTTAGCCATCACAACATTTCATACTAACACTTCTGCTTCTCCAAAATTATTCTATTTTTTCACTGAGTGGCTTTATTTGTTACCTTAAGTAACTTAATGTGGAAAACGACCCGAACAAATTTATCTTCAGGGATTTTCCTTCATATATCGACTATACTGGTAAGGTGTTTTAGTACAATTTGATATATCATACCGTGACGTTGAATAGCCGTATTCGGCGTGTTGCTAGGATTTTCGGGAAGTCCCCGTGCATTTTTTTATTACAATTTGTATTACAAGTTTCTTTTAGGTCATATAAAAATGGAAAATAATATTCTTAATACGGCAAATTAAGAATAGTCACCTTGAGGGCCGAAATTTTTTTTACATAAGGGAACTCAAGAATGTGAAATACGGACTGAAGCGTAGATAAAAGCAGGGGTCAAAAATCATATAGATATCTATGCGTAAGCATCTCTAGTTAGTCTGTGATATCTAATATATAAAATTCTCGTGTCACGGTGTTTGTAATTGATTTTCGATTCGATTTCGATTTTTAAAATGCATATCGGCCAGGGTGGAGAATCGGACAACATCTATTTTTCATTCCCCTAAATGTTAAGGGTGGTCGACCCAAAACATTTTTTTCTACTCTACAAATAATTTATATGGCAAAACAACGTTTGCCGGGTCAGCTAGTCTATTCCATAATAATATTATAAAGAGGAAAGATTTTATTGTTTGTATGCATTGAATAGACTCCGAAACTACTGAACCGATTTGAAAAATTCTTTCACTCTTGGGAAGCTACATTATCCCCGGATGATACAGGCCATATTATATTTTCAAAAAACTAGGGATCCTTAATAATAAAACATCAATAATGTAACCCAAACTGTACAAAAATTACCGAAAATATTCTTTACATCGCGTGTGCTGCGAAAACTATTGATGATAGAATAAAATAATAATAATATTAAATGATCGCGAGGTGTGCAGCCTCCGCAGCTATTTTCTGGCGAGATCGGATGAGTCAATCTGTACGGACGTCATTAGTTGTGATAAAGGACTTACCCCTCTGTCCTTAGCCAACGAGCAATGGCAGGACCCGGGAGTACTGAGCGTTTCCGACCGGGAGGCCGTATGGAAGGAGAAAGATCTCCACGGGAGGTTCTACAAGGCCCTACACGAGCCTTTCGTAGATACTCTTGCCTCCCTTAACTAGCTACGTTTCGGTGACCTCTTTGGGGAAACCGAAGGTTTTGTCTGTGCGATACAGGATCAGGTATTAAGACGAACAACTATCGGAAATACATCCTAAGGGATGGCACCGTCGACATCTGTCGAGCTTGTCGCCATCCCGGGGAGTCGCTTCGGCATGTTATTTCCGGTTGTTCCATGCTTTCTAACTGAGTATCTGCATAGACACAACCTAGTAGCCAGAATCCTACACCAGGAGCTCGCTCTGAAATACGGCCTCATGGATCGGAAACTGCCGTACTACAAGTACTCTCCGGAGGCCGTGCTCGAAAATGACCGCGCCAGGCTCTACTGGGACCGGCCCATCATCACGGACAGGACGATTGTCGCGAACAAACCTGACATTGTGGTGATGGACCGGGCTCAGTCGCGGGTATTTTTGGTCGACATTACCATTCCATATGACGCGAACCTCGTGAAGCCGAAACAGATAAGAAGACAAAGTATCTGGATCTGGCTCACGAGGTGACCGACATGTGGGGTGGTGTGCCGACCGAAACTATCCCGATAGTCTTGTCTGCGAATGGGTTAATCCCATCTCTCCAAACATCTGAGGCGACTGGGACTCCGGGACGGAACGCTCCAAGCTCAAATGCAGAAGGCGGTGCTCCTCGATACCGCCCGCATCGTCTGCCGGTTTCTCTCCCTCTCACCCTAACCCTCGGCCGTTTGGTCTCCCCTGCCAAGGGCTTCCGTCTGGTTGGGTCCTATTTATTTATGTATTATATATAATATTTATATCTATATGTTTATTTTTATTCATAATATTTATTTTATATATGCAATATATATTTATATGTTTATTTTTTATCTATAAACCCAACCAGACGAGAAAACAAAGAAATATCCCCAATATAAAAATAATAATATGCTTTATTATACACCAAAAAAGAAAAAAGTACAGAACTAAACAAAATATTTATCAAATATGGGTCATCAAAAGGCGACCTTATTGCTACACAGCAATTTCTTCCAGCCAACCTCAATTTATCAAAAGAATTTGTTATTGGGTCGGATGTACATGAAATTAAGTAAAAAGAAAGTTGCAACAAAAATTAAAGTAATGAGAAAAACATACTTCTTGTGTGTGATCATCAAAGTAAGAGTGAAATAAAAAGGGAAGGAGAGAGACATCGAGAGATAGAAAGGAGCTAGATAGAGAGATAATGCTTCTTAACCTGTCTTTTAAAATAATCTAGGGTTTGAGCACGTTTAATAGCCAAAGGTAGAGTTCCAGAGTTTAACAGCGACAGCAGAGAAGGATTTATGGTAAAAACTAGTTGATCGCAAAGGATTTTAAGGAAGAGGTTTTCATTTGAACGTAGAGGATGGTTATGAGAGGAGCAAAGAAATTGAAAACGTTCCTTCAAATAATCCGGACTTGATACATTAAATAGGACGCAGTAAAGAGCATAAATAATATGAGTATTCCGGCGAAAACGAAACGGGAGCCACTTGAGCTTAATGCGATATTCTGATACATGGTCATGTTTACGAAGTCCAAATATGAACCGTATACATAGATTTTGGAGTCGCTCAAGTTTATTAAACTGCTCCTCGGTGATGTCGAGATAGCATATGTCAGCATAATCAAGAATAGAGAGCAGTAAAGAATGGGCAAGCGTAATTTTGGTCGAAATAGGTAAAAAGTAGTTCAACCTTCTGCGCGAACCACATGTTGCAAATAATTTACGAGCGATTGCATTAATTTGAGGGGTCCATGAAAAACTTGAGTCCATGAATATACCCAGATTTCTAACAATGTCATTATAAGGGATTAGGATGCCATTAAAAATAACCGGGTCAATTTGGTTCTTATTTAATTTTGTGATATTTCTTGAACTCCCAATTATTATGGCTTAAGATTTTATAGGATTAACAGTCAAATCATATTGTCGGCTCCAGTCAAGAATACAAGCCAAATCCCTATTAATAATATCCACAGGTTTCGGAAGATCCTCCACAGTCGTTTGAGTGTAAATCTGGAGATCATCTGCATACAAGTGGTAGAGAGAAGATATTTGGGAAGTAATGGTATAAATGAAAATTGCAAATAGCAGTGGGGATAACACGCCACCTTGTGGCACACCAGCTACAGTATCAAGCCGTGAAGAAAACCTGACCTGAAATCGAATACGCTGCTGGCGTCCATACAATAATGTAATACGAGTGTGTAGAACACATCATTATTTACAAAAAGTGTCGCGACAGCATATGTCTAACTATTATAGTTATGCAACAATAAGTGGTCTTGTCAATGGACTTTGACAACAGCGGCGGATATCATACAACATCCGCGGGTTTTCATGGTATCCGCCGTAGTTACCCATAGTTTTTACGGATTACTAAACGATGTATTAATAATTTAATTGTAGTGTGTAAACATTAATTTTAGTGAAAGATACGTCGAAGAAAGTTGCGGGCGTGGTCGTGCAAGAGGAAGATAACGTGGTGGTGCCGAGACTTCTGAAGACTATTTATCTTGTTTTATCATCATTCTTATCTATTTGTTTTTTTTTTATGTCGGAAGTAGTATATATGTGGGATTATATCAAACACTTGCCCAGCAGTTCGT